TTCTGGAAGGCGGAGGCAACACGGGGCTCTTGCAGAGAAGAGCAGATGGGACTCCGGAAGGCTCTGGAGGTCCCACCAGAGGAAGGGAACCAGGCCCCAGGCCGGATTCAAGTAATACAACCACCTTCTGGGGGAGGGAAGGGCTCACTCGGTCAACCAAACGATCTCAAGGGAAAGGAAGTAAAGACCCAGCCGACTGCCACTCTCTAGGGCTCAGCACAATCAGGATATCTGTCCCTTAAGACCAAACGCTCGTGCCGACCACCCTTCCTCAAACTTGAGAACCCGCAGTCCCTAAATCCCCAGCTGAGTCTGGGAAAGTTCACCGAAAGCTGGAACTCTGGGCCTCACGCTGGCACAAGCCCGGGACGCTGAAACACTGCCGTAGAGGACGCCGGGACCCAGGAGGTAGGCCCACAGACCCCGTTGCAAGCACTGCCCCAGGCCCCAGCCTGTCACGAGTTAGGGAGAGGGGCCAGCTGGGAGGGGGCACTGAACCTCCCTCCTCCGGCCGGGAGGGCCCGGACGAGGTCCCGGGCGAGACTCCAGATGAGGAATCAGGGTCCGGAGCCAGGTCTCCCAAGGACCGATTCTAGACCACTTCTCCTGGGCTGTGATGAAAACCCCGCCTAACTTGGGTAGCGGTAAAGGTCTCTAAAAAATTATCGTAGTTCAGCTCTCTGAGGGGAAAAAAAAAAATAGAATGCGCCCAAATATTAACAGGATGATCAGAATGATTTGGAAAATAAACATAAGGTCCTCTTATGAGAGAACGCTTTTTAAAATGTAATTACATGGGGCGCCTGGGTGGCTCAGTCGGTTGAGCGTCCGACTTCGGCTCAGGTCACGATCTCGCGGTCCGTGAGTTCGAGCCCCGCGTCGGGCTCTGGGCTGATGGCTCAGAGCCTGGAGCCTGCTTCCGATTCTGTGTCTCCCTCTCTCTCTGCCCCTCCCCCGTTCATGCTCTGTCTCTCTCTGTCTCAAAAATAAATAAGACGTTAAAAAAAAAATTAAAAAAATAAAATAAAATGTAATTACAGCAGGGCCTCTGGTTCAGGGCGCTGACAGGAAAAGCCTCGACCAGGCCCAGGACACAGGGCTCGTGTCCCACCGACCCCCCTCTCCCTGCTGTGGTCAGAACATAAAAACAGGTTCCGCAGAGCAAACTCCCAGCCGGTGGCTCTCACCGGGACGCTTCTGCCCCCCCGGGGACGTCTGGCAGTATCTGGAGGCATCCTGCGGGCATGCCGCTGGCATCTGGTGGGCAGAAGCTAGAGGCGCTGCCGGGCCCCCGCCACGCGGTCGCCCAGCCTGAACGCGCCTGTGCCGGCCACGTCGCCCGCCGCACACTGGAAGGCTCCCGAAGGAGCGGGTGCCCGGGTGGGCACGTGCGGGCAGCAGCGCCTCACGGCCATGCCATTCTCGTCCCGCTTCGCCAGCGGGTGAGAGCGGTGCCCACCAGGGCCCACGAGCCCCCTCCCGGCCCCGAGGCTGTGAGGAACCTGCCCCGATTGGCCGATGTTCTGAATCGCGAAGACCCGTCCCATCACGTGTGAGGAGGAACCGCCGTCGGGACAGCAATGGGGGCTCGGCCCTGCTCCCACCACCCTGCTGCACAACGCACCCTTGAACCGGAGAAGCGAGCACCGGCCTCTCAGGACACCAGCCCCTCAGCCCTCACTCTCCTCGCCCTGATGTGGATTCGGTGTCCCTCCCGCCCATGGCACCTGCATCTGTGACCGGCACAGCTCCTAAGCGTCAGGCCTCCCAACGTTCTGTGCAATTCTGTAGAATTCTGTATTAGCGTGCGTTCCTAAGGCAAGGGTCCCTAGCTTCCCGGTGAAACTTCCTCATCGTGCACTAGGAATCACTCCCGAAAACTTCTAGAAAAAAATGTTAACTCTCAACAGGGACACATGTGTCAACAGAAAATTTGTCATAGGTGATCTAAATCTGTGAGAGGATATGGTGGAAATAGCTTCTCTGATCGCAAAAATTCATCTAAAAGCTTTCTAGGGGCGCCTGGGCGGCTCAGTCGGTTAAGCATCCAACTTCAGCTCGGGTCACGATCTCGCGGTTTGTGGGTTCGAGTCCCGCGTTAGGCCCTGTGCTGCAGCTTGGAGCCCGGAGCCCGCTTCGGATGCTGTGTCTCCTCCTCTCTCTGTCCCTCCCCCGCTCATGCTCTGTCTCTCTCGGCTTCTCAATAATAAATAAACGTTAAAAAAAAAATGTTTAAAGCTTTCTAAAAGCTGGGTGCCCGGGTGGCTCAGTCGGTTACGTGTCTGACTCCAGATTTCAGCTCAGGTCGTGATCTCGTGGCTGGTGAGACCGAGCCAGGTGTGGGGCTCTGTGCTGTCAGCGCAGAATCCTGCTTGGGATGCTCGCTCTCTCTCTCTCTCTCTCTCTCTCTGCCCCTCCCCCTCTCGCTTGCCCACATGCTCTCTTTTGCATGTGTGTGCGTGCTCTCAAAAACATTTGAAAAATCCTTTTTTTTTTAAGTTTATTTATTTTGAGAGAAAGAAAAAACATGGGTGGGGCAGAGACAGGGAGAGAGGGAATCCCAAGCAGGTTCTGCGCTGCCAGCACAGAGCCCCATGGGGGCTCAAACTCACAAACCATGAGGTCATGCCCGAGCCTAACTCAAGATTCAGAGGCTTAATTGACCGAGCCCCGCAAGCGCACCCGAAAAAAATCCTTCTAAAGCAGAAGTAAAACTCTTTTCAATCTCGTGAGCTCACTCGAAATGACACTACAATATTTCTTCACCTGTATGAATACCTGCAGGACTATTTTTAATCAAAGACTACTTAATAATTCTAGAAATCAAATCACATTCACGGCTGTGAAACAACAGAAAGAACTCGAAAGGGAAATCCCTTCCTGCCTGTTGCCCACACTCACCAGCCAGCACCACAAATGATGAACTCTGCCACAATTCTGTCAGCCCCACGACAGGCCTGGTGGTGGACTGAGTGAGACAACAGGCCAGCAATCCACAGCTCCCCAAATAAAGCCTTTTTTTTTTGGTGGAGGGAGAAGGTGGAGGGAGATAAACATCAACCCAAATGACGCCTGGTCAGGGCCTCAGGTGGCACGATGTGAGCCACAGGGCCTTCAAGGAGTTGGAGATACCAGCACCCAGCACTAATCTCGAAAGGGCCCGGCGAACAGGCAGCTGGTTCATGTCAACAGCGCTCTCCTGTCCTCCTGGATCAGACAAGGCGCCGAGAAACACCACCGCTCCACAGCCAGTTAAAGAAAAGCAACAAAGCCTCACTTCTGCTTTCTGGTGAGGACAGTGACTCTCTGACGAATTGCGACAGCTATCCCTTCCAAAGAGTACCTTCCAAAGAGTGCCGGCACCACTCCAAGCATTACCGGGTCCCTCAATTCACCCAAGGTGACGCTGCTGCGATCACGCCTCTGTCTGACAGGAGTCAACGATCTCAGAGTGGTCTCTCAGTAAGTGACGAGCAAGGCGGGGCAGTATTCAAACCCCAGCCCCCCGCCCCCCTCCCCGGGCTCAGCGCTCACCGCACCCATCGCCGCCACCTGTCACCACTGAGGTGGAGGGGGACACTGGGCTCTGCCACGAGGAGGAAAAAGCTACCCGGCCTCTCGGGAAAGGAATTTGGAATCACAAATGCCTAGCCACAGTTCTCCTGGGAATGTTGCGGCCTTCGTCTCCTAAGGAACTTGTTTCCTGATGCTTTGTTCTCATCAACTCCTCTGCGAACTAGGTAAGGAGCCAGTGCAGCCCCTCCTATGAGAGACGCGGGCTTCAGCCTCAAGGAAGGCGACTTGGCTAAGTGGCCATCCAAGGTCACACAACCGGCAACCGAGTGGCAAGGGCTGTATTTCAGGTTTGGTGACGCCCCACAAGATGGGTTCCCATTAGGTCGTCAGGTCTCTCCCTGTAGGCTCCTAATTAGTGACTGGAAGCCAACATACCAACACCCTCTGACGTTAAGCTTCCGGGAGGACAGCTGGACACCCACCGCGAGCCACATCGGGCACTCTTGCGCCCGCGACCCCACACCCTGGAAACGCCGGCCTCCACCCCGGCCCTCAAAGTCACCAGCCTGCCTACCGCCGGAAATGTCACTGGGGCAGTTCACGGTTTTTTTGTGGGTTTTTTTCGTGTGTGTTTTTTTCTTTAGGATGAAGGGGCCACAATCGGACTCCAGAGGGCGAAGCGGGGCGCCAGACAGACGCGCTCCACGCCCTGCCACGAAGTCCTCTAAGGCCGGGCAGGGGCATGGGCAGCCACACGCCACACCCGCCGGGCCTGCAGGACCCCAGACCCCACCGGCCCTAGGGAGCCCGGGAGGCCGGTCTCGCGGGTCCCCAGACCCGGGGGAGGCCGGCCCTGCAGACCCCCACACCCGGGGGAGCCCAGCCCCGCAGACCACCCCCAGACCCCGGGGAGGCCGGCCCTGCAGACCCCCAGGCCCCGGGGAGCCCGGAAGACCAGCTCCGCAGACCCCGAGACCTCGGAAGCCCGGACGCGCAGACCCCCAGACCCCGCCCGGTGCCCCAGGCCGCGCCCCGACCCCCACCCTGCCCCACCTCCCTCTCCAAGGAACCCCTGCGGCCCGCGGGCCCCGGCCAAGCGCTGCCGCTACCCCGGCCCGCAGACCCCACCTTGAGGGTCGGGTACTCCTGCACCTTCAGGGTCATGGAAAGCTGAGCAGCTGACTCCTGCACCGCCATCTTGAATCGGCCAAAACATTAGCGGGTGGGGGAAGCGCCGCGCGCGGCACGCCGGGTAGTGACGTCGCGCTCTCCGGCGGGGGCGGGGCGCGCCCGGGCGGGCCGACGCGCCTGCTCCAATCGCGTCCGCCCACCAGACTGTGGCGGCGGAAGGAGGCGCGACCGCGGCGTGCGCGCGGAGAGGCGTCCGGCCGGACCAATCACCTCTGGCCCTCCTCGCGTTCGGCCAATCAGCGGGAAGCCTGTCTGGGCGGGTTCCTCCTTGAACTCGCGGCCGGGGACGCTCCCGCCGATCCCAGCCTCTGGGCGCTGGCGGTCCGGGGCGCTCCCTGGGGTCGGGAGGCTGAGGCTCGTCGAGTGGTGCAGCCGTGGGCGCGACTGGGCTCCCGCGGGGGCGGGCCCCCGAAACAGTGACCCTCTGCGTGGGACGGTGACCCTCGCCGTCGTGACCCCTTACGGTAGTAGCCGAGAGGTCTGCAGGCCACCATGCATGTCAGGCAACTACTTTCCATTGGGCTGCATTTCCGCAGAGTGGCAGCTGCTGGAGTCCTGACGTTTCCTATCGGAAAAGGAAAGGAAATTTTTGTTAACTGATTTTCAGGAAAGAAGCTCCCAAAGTAGAACAAGGGCCTGTGTGCCTTTGTGTCCTCACCAATGTCACACGGCCCTGGCACCTAGCAAGGTACTCCAGTTCCCTTTCAACCATTCCACATTCTATCCTTTCAAAATAACTAGTCCTTTCATTCCCCTTTTTAAATAGAAATGAAATTAGTTTTCATTAATTAGAAGACTTCCCAATTAAACCGTTTCTCGTGTTGCACACTTATTCCTGAAACGATTTTTTTGAAACTTAAGCTTAGCGTTGAAAAAAAAAAAAACACCTAAGGTTCGACACAAGGGAGGCCGATACTGTGGGAGTGGGAGCCGCGGGGAGAAGCAGCTTCCTGTCCAGGCTCACACCAAGTTCCTTATACCTGAGGCCATCCGCGTGAGTGAGTTCATCAGGATCATCAGAAGGGGCTGACAGCTCAATACTAATCAAGCCTTCCCACCGTTGTTGATCGATGTAGCACGGTGAGTGTGTCTGATGCCGATTTCGGAAGCTTGTGAAAGTGAGAAGGAGGAAGATAGATTCCTGTGCATGGCATATGCCTCTAGGAGACATCTGGAGTGAAATTGGTGTAAGACTAGAAGAATGCACTATTCTAGAATTTTTAAAAACCCTTACCAAGGAGAAACAGGGATGTTACCAACTGTGATTGATCACAGACCTAATCACAGATCATCAGAGTAGTAGTGCCCCCGTCTAGGAGTTTTAGGAAGTTGTTTCTGTATTTCAGGGCAAAAAAAAATTGAGCTTGAAATGAGCATGCGCAGCTTTGGAAAACTGTATTATTTAACTAGGTTGTCTTGTTCTCAAGTTTCAGAAGTTTAAAAATAAAATAGTGTTCAAGTTGAAAGGAAACGTGGTTTAGAGTGGAATCGGGTGGCCAGCAGGGGGAGCTCTCAGCCCTACCACTCCGGTCAGTTGCAGCCCCAGCAGGAAGGGACGCACCTTGCAGGTGGATTCCACGGCAGCTCCCGCTTTACTAACCCAGTGGGAGGAAGGAAGGTTTCTTCCTCCCCCGGCAACAACCCAGGCAATGAGAGCCAGCCCCAGCCCAGCCAGTGAGAGACTGCCGTGGATCAGCCAATGAAAAGCCATTACACTTCGAGGTCCCAGTTTCCTCCAGTGGACTTTCTGTTTACAACAGCCCTCCTTTTCTCTATAAGAGAGCCCCCTGGGGGCATCTGGGTAGCTCAGTCGGTTCAGTGTCCCACTTTGGCTCAGGTCATGATCTTGGGGCTAGTGGGCTCGAGCCCCGCATGAGACTCTGTGCTACAGCTCAGAGCCTGGAGCCTGCTTCTGATTCTGTGTCTCCCTCTCTCTCTCTCTGCCCCTTCCCTGCTCACACTTTCTTTCTCTCTCAAAATAAATAGACATTTAAAAATTAAAAAAAAAAAAACAAAACTAGAAAAGAGTCTCCCGTACCTTATTCTCACTTGTCTATGGTTTTTCCTTGGATCACTTGTCCTGGGTTGTAGATTTCTGCTATTCCTGAATAAACCCAGTTTTGCTAGTAAAGTAGCTGGTGGTTTTGGTTTTAAGGTTAATGCATTGCATTCTAAGTTGTCAGTGAAATAAGTCCCCATTATCTTTGTGCTTTTTCCCAACAGGAAATGCCTTTTAAACATTCAGAGAGACAGTAAGTCTTTCCTAGAGTAACAGAACCCCCCCGACGTTTCTTTGTAGAGATACTTGACAAACAACATTGTGTGTAAGTTTAAGGTGTACAATGTATTGATTTGACACACTTATATTGTAATATGATTGCCATTTTAGAATTAGGAACACCTCTATGGGTCACATAACTATCATTTCTTCTAGTGTTGGGAGCAATTCAGGTCCAATCACCTAGCAGGTTTAATGCTCATGATACATTTTTGTTGTCTATAATCACAGCACTGTGCAGTAGGTCTCTGGGACTGACTTACTTCCAAGCCCCAAGTATGTACCTTTAAACAATCTCTCTCCCATTCCCCCGCCCTGCAACCCCTGGTAACCATTTTACTCTCCGCTTTCATGATTTCAGCTTTTTTAGTTTCCGCACATAAAAGACACGAATCATGACGTGTTTGACTTATTTCATTTAGCATAATGTCCTCAAGGTCCATCCATTGTTGACAATGGCAGAGTTTCCTCTTCTCTCATGGCCAAATAGTAGTCCACTGTGTGTGTGTGTGTGTGTGTGTGTGTGTGTGTGTGTGTGTGCGCGCGCGCACACACACACAACATCTTCTCATCATCCAATGACGGACACTTAGGTTATTTCATATCCTGACTATTGTGACTCAACTGTCCCTCCACAAGGGCATGTGTGTTTCTCTTGGGTATCCTGTTTTCATTTCCTTTGGATGTATACCCATAAGTTGGATTGCTGAATGATGTAATAGCTCTGTTTTTCATTTTTGGAGCCACCTCATACTGTTCTCAATGGTGGCTGAACCAGTTTACAGTCCCACCAACAGTGCACGTCCCCACCATCGCTTGTTATCTCTTGTCTTTTTGATGATGGCCATTCTGACAGGTATGAGGAAATATCATGCTTTTGTGTTTTTTTTTTTAATTTTTTTTTCAACGTTTATTTATTTTTGGGACAGAGAGAGACAGAGCATGAACGGGGGAGGGGCAGAGAGAGAGGGAGACACAGAATCGGAAACAGGCTCCAGGCTCTGAGCCATCAGCCCAGAGCCCGACGCAGGGCTCGAACTCACGGACCGCGAGATCGTGACCTGGCTGAAGTCGGACGCTTAACCGACTGCGCCACCCAGGCTCCCCGCTTTTGATTTGCGTTTCTCTGGTGATGTGCCTGTCAGTTGTTTGGAAGTCTTCTTTGGAAAATTCAGTTATAGTCCATTTAGTTTCTCTGTCCATTTTTTTTTTAAGTTTATTTATTTCGAGAGACATAGAGTCAGTGCGAGTGGGGGAAGAGCAAAGAGGGAGGGAGAGAGAGAATCCCAAGCAGGCTCTGTGCTGTCAGCGCGGGGCTCGATGTGGGGCTCGAACCCACAAAACTGTGAGATCATGACCTGAGCCGAAACCAAGAGTCAGACGCCCAAGTGACTTCGCCACCCCGGTGCCCTCCTCTGTCCATTTTTAAGTTGGATGGTTTGGGGTTTTTTGTTGTTGTTGAGTTTATGATTTCTTTACATATTTTGGATATTAACCGCAAATGTATGGTTTACAAAAATTATCTTCCATTCTGCACATTGTCTTTTCATTTCGTTGATGGCTTTTTTGCTGTGCAGAAGCTTTTCAGTTTGGTGTTGTCCCACCTGTTGATTTTTTTTCCTTTTGTTGTTTGTGCTTTTGGTGTCATAAAACAAAATCGTTGCCGAACCAATGTTGAGCGACTTCTTCCCTGTTTCCTTTTAGGAATTTTAGAGTATCAGGTCTTATGTTTAAATCTGAGGCATTTTGAGTTACTATTTGTGAGTGGTGTCAGGAGGAGGCCCAATTTCATGCTGCTGCCTGTGCGCATCCAGTTTTCCCATGCTCTGAGTAGACTGCCCTTCCCTTACCGTATGTTCTTGGCTCCTTATCAAATATTAGTTGACTATATACGTGAGGTTTATTTCTGGTCTCTATTCTGTTCCGTTGGTCGATGCGCCTATTTTTATGCCACGACTACGCTATTTTAACTACTGTAGCTTTGTAGTATAGCTCCAAATCCCAGCCAACTTTTATAGAAGGATTTCTAGTCAACTAGAGAACTCTCCATAAAAGGATCTTTAAGTCTCAGTTGTGAAGCGTGGCCTCCAAAATGCACTGGTCATAATAGCTGGCAAAAAGCAGGGTAATGGAGGTGTATCAGAAAACTCTGAACTGCTATTCAAGGCTCCCAAGTTCTTTTTTTTTTTTTTTTAATTTTTAAATATTTATTTTTGAGAGAGAAAAAGAGAGTGTGAGCAGGGGAGGGGCAGAGAGGGAGACACAGAATCCAAAGCAGGCTCCAGGCTCAGAGCCGTCAGCACAGAGCCCGACAAGGGGCTTAAACCCACAAACCATGAGATCACGACCTGAGCCAAAGTCGAATGCTTAACTGACGGATCCACCCAGGTGCCCCAAGTCTTAGTGGATTTTAGAAGATAGATATAATACCAGGTATCTTTCCGACCACAACAGATGAAGATTGAAATCAGTAATGGAAGGAAAACTAGAAACTTCACAAAATTATGGAAATTAAACAATCCACTTTAATTTTTTTTATATGTTTACATATACATATGTATTATATATATATATATATAACTTAAATACAAACTCAGATTTTAGAAATTGTACAAAGAAAGGTAAAAACATTTCACATATTTATGATTAGTTTTGATATTTAATATCTCCTTTTACTGTACCGACTTAAAATGTTTACATTTACTGATGAGGACCAGATATGCCCATCACCATCTGCGCAACTTGCAGGGGATTTATGATTTCTTCCATGTTCTCTTGTCTCAAAACTCAACTGGTTTAAGTCTTGAAGCTATTCTGGTTCTCGCAGGTATTTCTGGAATAAAAGGAATGCTTATGGATGAATTCTTCATTTTATGTTTATAAGCTAGCTATAAGTTTGTAGAGACTATAAATATGGTCAACAACTTTGGACCTACTTTAAACACTAGAGGCTCAATTTGTTGTCCAAACAGCACAGTTTTAAACAACCAGTGAATCAAAGAATAAATTATGAAGAAAATTAGAAAATAATCAAAGATGAATGGAAAAGAAAACACAACTTACCCAAACTAATGAATTCATTGACAGTGGTGCTTAGGGAAAATTTATAATTCTAAGCACATTAAAAAAATGAGTGATCTCAAGTCAATGACCTAACTTCACAACTTAAGGAATTCGAGAAAGAACAGACTAAGCACGAAGCTAGCAGAAGAAAGGAAATAGTAAGGATGAGAGCAGAGAAAAACGAAATAGAGGATAGAAAACCAATAGAGAAAATCAATAAAAAAAATTTGGTTCTTTGGAAAGACCAACCCAACTGACAAACTGCAGCTGGATGGACTAATCAAAAAAGACAAGTTACTAATATCAGAAATGAAAGTGGAAACATTCAAACACATGTGGCAGAAATAAAAAGGATTACAAGACAGTACTATGAATAATTGTACACTAAGAAACTGGATAACCTAAATGAAATGGACAGATTCTTAGAAATACAAAACCCACCAAGAATAAATCATGAAGAGACAGAAAATCTGATTGACATAATTAGTAAGTAAATTGAATGAATAGTAAAAAGTCTCTTGACAAAGAAAAGCCCTAGAACTGATGGCTTCACTGGTGAATTCTACCAAACATCTAAAGAGCTAACACTGGGGTGCCTGGGTGGCTCACTCAGTAGAACACAGGACTCTTGATCTTGGGGTTGTGAATTTTAGTCCCACATTGGGTGTCGAGATTCTTTGAGAATAAAATCATAAGGAGCACCTGGGTGGCTCAGTCAGTTAAGCTTCCAACTGTTGATTTCAGCTCAGGTCACAGTCTCATGATTCATGGGATCAAGGCCATGTCAGGCTCCAAGCTGACAGCACGGAGCCTGCTTGGAATTCTCTCTCCGTCTCTCTCTGCCTCTCCCCTGCTTATGTGCTCTAAATAATAAATAAAGTCATAAAGAAACACAATAAAATATTTTAAAAAATCTAATGAAGAAAGAACTAATACCAATTATTTTCAAACTCTCAAAACATTGAAAATGAGGGAACATTTCCTAACTCATTCTAAGGTTCCGGGGAAACTGCACATCCACAAGCAGAAGAATGACATTGGAGCCTTACCTCATACGAAAAGATTAACTCAATACGGATCAGAGACCTAAATGTAAGACCTAATAACACAAAACTCTTAGTGGAAAACAAAGGACTAAAGCTTCCCAACATTTGGCAATGATTGTTATTTAAAAAAAATTTTTTTTAATGTTTATTTCTGAGAGAGACAGAACATGAGCAGGAGAGGGATAGAGAGCGAGCGAGACACAGAATCCGAAGCGGGCTCCTGGCTCTGAGCGGTCAGCACCGAGCCCGATGTGGGGCTCAAACTCACGGACCGCGAGATCATGACCTGAGCCGAAGTTGGCTTACCCGACCGAGCCACCCAGGCGCCCCGACAATGATTTCTTGGGTAGAATAGCAAAGGCACAGGCAAAAACAAAACAAATTACATTTCATGAAAAACTTTATGTGCATCAAAAGACACTCTCAACAGAGTAAAAAGGCACCCCACAGCATGGGAGAAAATATTTGCAGATCACATTTCTCATAAGGGGTGAAGATGCGGAATATGTAGAGAACCCCTAAAACCCAACAACAAGGAGCTTGACTCAAAAATGGGTAAAGAACTTGAACAGACCTTCCTCACAGAAGTTATGCAAATGGCCAACAAGCCATGAAAAGATGCTTGACAGCGACAAACGTCAGGGAAACGCAAGTCGAAACCACAATGAGGTCCCACCTCACACCTGGTGGAGTGGCTGCTACCCGAAAATAGCAATTGTTGACGGGTGTGGGGACTGGAACCCTGCACACGGTCGGCGGGGCTATAAATGGTGCAGCCGTGTGGAAAACGGTGTTGGGGTTACTCGAAGAATTAAAGAAAGATGTTTGTCGCATGTTCCAGCAGTTCCACTTCCAGGCATTTGCCTGAAAGAATTCTGAGCAGGGTCTTGAGGAGACGTCTGCACCCGCTGTTCACTGCAGCGTTATTCACGATAGCTAAGAAGCAGAAGCAACCCAAGCGCGCCTGGACAGATGAACGTGTTACGAAAAACAGCATGTCATTCAGCCTCAAAATGAGAAACGTTCTGACACCTGCTGCAACACGGATGAGCCTGGAGGACGCGATGCTCAATGGAATGAGCCAGTCGCAAAAAGACGAATCACGTACGACTCCACTGGTATGAGGCCACTAGGGAAGTCAGATCGTAGGGACAGAAAGCAGAATGCCGAGTACCAGGGGCTGGGAGAGGGGGTTGGAGTCAGTGTTCGACGGGGACAGAGTGTCCGTTCTACAGGTTGAAAAGAGCTCTGGACGTGGAGGAGGGAACACTAGGAATGTATCAACTGCTACTGAACCATGTAGTTAACAATGGTTAAGACGGTAAGTTTCATGGGATTTATATCGTATTATAATAAAAAACTGAGGGGGGAGGGGAGGCAGGCAAAACGGGGGAGGGTGGGAGGTGGAGGCTCCTGGGTATGGAAGGAACCAGCGGAGGGGATGAAAGGTGCCGCGTAGAGGATACGGTCGGTGGTGCTGTGATGGCATGGTGTGGTGACGGCTGGTGGCCACGCCTGTGAGCACGGCGGGACCGAGGCGGGTGGTGGGTCACCGTCATGCACCTGCACCTAATGCCACGTGGGTGTCGGCTGTACTTCGCTTTTTAATGAGAGCAGTCAAAGGGACAGGCTCTGGCGGCAGGCCCTGGGGTCTGAGCTCCGGTGAGACCGTGCGGGTCTCTGGGCTTTCCAGCGGGACGCCAGCTTTCTGGGCCGTGGGATCTCTCTCCCTGCCAGGTGGCACTCCTGTCCCGCCCCCGGCTCTTCCCATCAGGATGTCCCTCTGCGCCCTTTGTGCTGCCCCCAACTTTGCAGGCGCTCGGCACAGCCCTTGTCCGGGAGGGTGCTCTCCGGCCTCGGCTCCGCAGGCCCTGAGGGGGAGCCCGAGGGGTGCAGGCCCCACCTGGGTGAGCGGGCTCCCTGCGCGCTAATGCCCGCGCCAGCCACGTGCCGTCCTCACCTGTCAGCTCCAAGTTCTGCCGGCGCCGTCCTGCTCCTGACCGCGGCGGTCTCACCGCCACCCTGCGGAAGTGAGAAGCAGCCGCGGGTCTCTTCTCTCCCACAACAGCCACGTTCCTCTCCGGAATCTACTTTATCGTCACATCCTTAGCTCTTTGGCGAAGTTCAGAACAAACAAAGGACATTGATGTGACACCATTGTGCCAAATCTGGCGAAATCTCAGTGGCAGGGTTGGAGCAACGGTCGCTGCAACCGTCTACACCTTATGTGGAGGCGGAAGTCCTCTCTGAAGGTCAGTGTCAATGCCCAAGGAGAGACGGGTAACGTGGCCAAACCTGTGATCGCGCCTGCTGCGTGCTGTGATTCCGTCCGACACATTTAGTGGGGATGATACTCCGATTCCTTCAGCTCATTGGGATTTACTGGCTTTTTACTACAATAAAAGTGGTTGTGTCACTGTCGCTAGCCGAGAGCCCCTTTTGCTTTCTAAGGGTAATGACTCCTTCTAGATTTTCCACATTTCACATGGTCGCTCTTTGAATTCTGATTTTATTTCCATGCTAAACCGCTAATGCACCTTGACGGGTTTATTTCGTTCACTTCAGTTCACAGGCGGAATAGTAGTTACATAGCCCCTTTCGAGCAGGTTGACGAGACAGCCTCCGAGGACCCTCTCCCCGGTGGAGCTGTGGACCCTCCCACATTTACGGTTGGTGTGTTCGTGTGTGCAGCCCTCTTCCTCACGGGGGATCAAAGCCGCGTGGCACTGCCTTGCAATGTGCACGTGTCTGTGGACACCAGACCCAGTAGTTCCCTCGGTGTCCGTCTGGGGTTACGCTTGTCTCCATGAAAAAGGAGTCTTCAAGGCCAAGGGGCCATGCCCATCCACATGCCCTCTCCTTTTCTAGAACCTGCTCCAGATGCCTGTGGCTGTAGAGCCCCACTTAACCAGTCTGGAGCCTGCTCCTGGGGCCCATGAGGGCTGACCCTGACCGCTCACCTGAGGGTGGACGGCACAGTGAGTGGGCCCACTCCTAAATTTTAGAGCTGGCTAAGGAATTGGAGAAGTGCAGGGGTGGCCATGTTAAGCAGAGCCAACCGGGAAAGAATGGACAGGTCCTGGACGTCATTATGGAGGCCACCACGCGGGCAGAGCTCGTGGAGACGGAAGGTGCAGCAGCGCCAGTGACAGCTGAGGACAGAGATGCCAGGGCAAGACTGCACTCAAGAAATCTAGGCCTCAGTTCGGTGTTGGATTCTTAGCTGTGACACCAAAAGCACTAGTAACAAAGTGAAAAAAAAAATAGATTGTACTTCACTAAAATTAAAAACTTTTGTGCATCGAAGGACATTATCAAGAGAAGGCAAGCTACAGAGGGGAGAAAATGTTTGCAGATCATACATCTGACACAGATAGATAAGGAACTCTAACAACTCAGTGACAAAAGGACAGACAACCTCATTAAGAAGTGGACAATGGGGCGCCTGGGTGGCGCAGTCGGTTAAGTGTCCGACTTCAGCCAGGTCACGATCTCGTGGTCCGTGAGTTCAAGCCCCGCGTCGGGCTCTGGGCTGATGGCTCAGAGCCTGGAGCCTGTTTCCGATTCTGTGTCTCCCTCTCTCTCTTCCCCTCCCCCGTTCATGCTCTGTCTCTCTGTCCCAAAAATAAATAAACACTGAAAAAAATTAAAAAAAAAAAAAAAAAAAAAGAAGTGGACAAAGCACTTGGACAGATGTTTCTCCAAAGAAGATTCACAGGTGGCTGGTAAGTACATGGCAAGATGCTCAACGTCATCAGTGAAGCTGCTCAGGACAGCTGCTCCAAAAGATGTCACTTCCGCATATTGGTCATTTGCACCAAAGGCACTTGAAACACAGCAGGTGCAAGAAAGTCTGTGACCCCCCAATAAGGCTCTGACCCCCCAAACAAGGCTGTGACGCCCCCAATAAGGCTCTGACCTCCCCAAAACAAGGCTCTGACCCCCCCAACAAGGCTATGACCCCCCAACAAGGCTGTGACCCGCTAAACAAGGCTGTGACCCCCCAATAAGGCTGTGACCCCCCAACAAGGCTCTGACCTCCCCCAAACAAGGCTCTGACCCCCCCCAACAAGGCTCTGACCCCCTAACAAGGCTCTGACCTCCCC